AATTGGAAGATGATGATTTCTCTAAAAGGGATAAGGATTTTCCTTGTATGTTAGAGGATGAAGATTTCTCCTGCATACCGATAGCTCGACGGCGGTCGGAACGTTACAATTTATTTACAATTAGGTAATTTTATTGATGCTCAAAAAGAGAATCTAAATACTAATTTCGGGTTTAGCAAAAGTTTAAAGCTTTATAAAAAGACAAACGTTTATATTTACATCATAAAACAATATGATCTCTTAAGACTTCTATAACAAAATGATCAAAATTCAAATTGTAAAATCTCATAATAGGTATTTCTATAATAATAACATAAATACTCGATTAATTTAAAGTACATTTATATATACAAATTTAACAATAAGTTAATATACAAATATTATTAAAATAGTTCCCGCTAAGTAGTGGGGGCATATACGTTTAGTAGACCATATTTTCTTTAAAAGGGCTTTATCATGTCATAAAACTCATGAAATAGATTTGACCATTGTCAATACACATGAAGTTAAGGACTATAATATATATGGTCCCTAGGGATAGGGGCCTCCCAATATCTAACAAAACAGCTGCATGTGTTTTTTGGCCTTTTGTTATTATGCAATTATAAATGCATTATTTAAAGAATCCAACCTATAAGTTATAACCATAACGTTTTTGAAGTGCAATATTTAAGGAGAACTCTCTGCTAAGTACAAAAATTTGACATCTTCATATAGACATCTTATGTGTAGTTGATATATGTTTGGTAATAATCATTCAAAGCAAAATCACTGGATCTTTTAAAATAACCATTTAAAGCAAAATCACTGGATCGATCAATATTCAACCTACTTCTTTTAATGCTTAAGTTAAAGCCAATATTAATTCTGTTTTTTTTTTGTTAACTATTTGAAAACACGAGACATACCAATATAGTTGTATAAATATATTTTAATATTAAAATCACCATATTATTTATAAATTTTCTGCTTTCAGTTTACTAATTTAAACTGATATTTGATCAACTAAGCTTGGATTATATAAATTGATTTGTCTATTCGAATAGTGAAATTGTTATTTTCTTTCTTTCGAAATTGTAAGTAAGGAAAAACTCATATACGTTTTTTTTTGTTGATTGGCAAAAGAATAACAAGTCTTTGATAAGCATTAGACAACGAGTCTCTTATCCTTATCTTAGTAAAGATGTTTGTTATGAAAAAGTATATGATATTAAATTTAATGTAATTACGGCGCATGATCCTATTAGAGTTGACAAAAAGGGAAAATTTTATAATTAGATTGCAATAATTGGAATTTAAAGACATGGTGTGGAAGTGGTGAATTTTCAATGTGTCCACATGATTTTCCATCTCATCATTCTCGTTTGACCTTCTTATAAGTTTGATCAAATCATAGAAAGGTTGCTCAAGATTTACCTCAGTTATTATTATTTTCCGTGAATGGGTTGTAATTAATCACGGTATAGAATTCGAACGGAACTTCTGTTGTAATATTTTGGTTCTTGGACTATATATTATGGATTTTTTACGTTATGAAAAAATGTTTCTTAAATAAACCATCACCGTCCATGCACGTAGATATCATGAATTATGAAGCTGGGTATTTGATGATAGCAACAACTGTGATCATAAAAATATAAATCAATAATAATAAATGGCAACAAATAGTCATGTGAGGTTATTTATTTAATCATTTTCTTCACCGTATCTAACGGACTAAA